GCCGGGAGCGGCCCCCTGGGAGCCAGCCGGTGACTGCAGCCTTCAGGTTCCTGCAGGGCTGCTGCCAGGGAGCCGCCTAGGTAAGCGCCTCCCAGCCAGAGCCTGCCTCTGGCACTAGCACCACCCCGCCAACTACCTGCCCCAGGGCACAACTCCCTCCCAGACCCTGCACCCCTTCTTATACCCTCCCCCAAGGCCAGGATCTCCCTGACACTGCACCCCATCGCCCTACCCCAAGTCATTACGCAACCCCTTCACCCAGGTCACAACGCCCTCCCAGGCCCTGCACCCCCTCTCTCAGGCCAGAATCCTCTCCTGGACTCTGCACCGCAAGCCTCTGCCCCAGATTACAATGACCTGGAATGCCATTGCTCATGATGGTTGGCAGAGTATTCACCCAAACTCCCTCTCTGACCCCGCTTCCCTCCTGCACCCCAAGCTCCCTTCCCTGTCCCAGACCCCAAGCCGCCTCAGTAGAAATGCAACCCTTGACCACTTGCCAATATCTTGGAGTGGTACCCTATTAAAAATTATGGCCTTAGGCCCTGGTCTCTGGGGTGAACTAGTTATCAGGCAGCAGAACTTCTGCATAGAACGTTTGGAGGCCTCATAAGTTGTCCCTTGGTCTTTGCTTGCTGGAACTGAGGTTGGCACAGAGCACCAAGAGGCTGAGGCCTACATACAGGTAGAATTAGAGCCCAGGACCTCAAGGAACATTCCACAATGAGCAGCTGAAGTCTGCCCTCCTTCCACGTCCTTGATCTGCTCTTTAATCCACTTCCTTGATCTGCTCTTTAATCTACAGCAAACTCTACTGTCTGGTGGGAGGTGGAGCTCGGAGGCAGTAGGGCCCACTCCTTCACTCTGCCTGGAACAGAGCCCTGTGAGGCAGCCTGCAGCTGCAGCCTTCAGGTTCCTGCAGGGTTGCTGACTGGTAGCTGCCTAGGTAAGTGCCTCCCAGTCACAGCCTGCCTCTGGTGTGCACGCACACACACACACACACACACAGCACCACCCCGCCAACTACCTGCCCCAGGTCACAACTCCCTCCCAGACCCTGCACCCCTTCTTATACCCTCCCCCAAGGCCAGGATCCCCCTACCCCAAGTCATTACCCAACCCTCTGCAACCCCTTCACCCAGGTCACAACGCCCTCCCAGGCCCTCCACCCCCTCCCTCAGGCCAGGATCCTCTCCTGGACTCTGCCCCAGATTACAATGACCTGGAATGCCATTGCTCATGATGGTTGGCAGAGTATTCACCCAAACTCCCTCTCTGACCCCGCTTCCCTCCTGCACCCCAAGCTCCCTTCTGCACCCAACCTCTGTCCCAGACCCCAAGCCGCCTCAGTAGAAATGCAACCCTTGACCACTTGCCAATATCTTGGAGTGGTACCCTATTAAAAATTATGGCCTTAGGCCCTGGTCTCTGGGGTGAACTAGTTATCAGGCAGCAGAACTTCTGCATAGAACGTTTGGAGGCCTCATAAGTTGTCCCTTGGTCTTTGCTTGCTGGAACTGAGGTTGGCACAGAGCACCAAGAGGCTGAGGCCTACATACAGGTAGAATTAGAGCCCAGGACCTCAAGGAACATTCCACAATGAGCAGCTGAAGTCTGCCCTCCTTCCACGTCCTTGATCTGCTCTTTAATCTACAGCAAACTATATCATCTGTTGGGAGGTGGAGCTCGGAGGCAGTAGGGGCAGCTAGAATGCTCTTCTCTGAGGGGAAGGGTTTGAAGCCCAGGGTTTTGAGTAGAGCATTTACCAGGGAGGCGACAGGTGAAGAGGCTAGTGGGAGTGGAGGTCCTACCACGGCACTGAAGGAAAGGCGTGGGATGTACCCTAAGGCAGTGACTGCATGGGACTGTTCAGGGAGCATCCACCACAGCTCACTGCGGAGCTCTGCGCAGCCCTGTTGTGTGGCTGTGTGTGAGGATGGCTTTGGTGCTGCACAGTGGCCCAGAATGGCTTGACTGGCATCCTCCAGCCCGGCTAGGGCAAACCCCTCTCTGCACACCCAGGTGCACAAGTCCTGCCCAGAACTTGGCCTTACAGAGCTTTAGACCCTCAGCCACCAGCTTCTGAAACATCAGCGCTGCCCTTCTACCTCCTGGACTATTTCACTGCAGGGCTAGGGGGCTGCCCTACGTCTCTTTGTGGTATCAGAGGAGAACATCAGTTGGCCAACGTGTCCCCGCCCCATTATGTATTTACTCTCCTCTATGATACATGTCACCCAACTCCTGCATGTTTTGCATCATAAATTTAAGACATGGCCCCGGTAATTTAGCAAGAATTAGTCACCATAAATCCCTTCCTCCCAAGCCCTTGATTGTTACCGCTTGTGCCGGGATGGGCAAGCAACCTTCTTCTCTCCCACGTCCCAACGTTTAGCACGGCCTTGGGCGAGGCTGGTGTAGTGGGGAGAGAATCCAAACGAGGAGCACAGGGGCCTCGCTAAGCACCCCCAGGAGGTGGGCGACACAGCAGCTCTTACCATCCCTGTCTGGCTTCACCAGGTCCAGCATCTGGCATAGTAAGTCATGGAATGGCAACGGCTCGATGCCCATGGCCTCCATCCGCTCACACTGTTCCTCGTAAAAATACTCCAGTTCATACATGGACAGCACACCGTCCCCATCCACGTCCAGGCACCGGAACCAGTATTCAATGCTAAGGAGCAAGAAGAGGTTTCGTCTTTTCCTGTTGGCAGTGGTGCAGAAGCCAACAATATTACCTGGGGCGCCGGAGAGCGGAGCCGTGTGAGCGTGAAACAATCACCACGTCAGGAGCCCTCGCTGGGATGATTTGAGATTGGACCTGCTTCGAGCAGGGGGTTAGACTAGCTCAGTGTTGCTCAACCAGTGGTACGAGTACCCCAGGGGTACTCAAGAGACGTCTGGGGGTACACGGACAATTGAATTTTGGAGACAACTGAATTTTTTTGTTTTACAGTGTTTTATTATTTTTGAACTTTTTACACCCAAAAATTGCATCGCCTACCAGGCTACGATTACGTTGTTCAAACAAATGTGTTGCAATGGTAGAAAAAATGGGCAGCTGGGGGTGAAGCTACAACAGCTTGGGCCTAAATCTTGGGGAGGAGGGGGGGACTGGGTGCCATGGGGCTGGCAGTGTGGAGAAACACTGGACTAGAAGACCTCCTGAGATCTCTTCCACCCCTAATCACTATGTTTGCTGTGTCGTGTGTTACGGGCTCTGATCTAGCCCAAGATGGGGTTGTTCAAACAGAACAGGCTAGTTGCTGGAGAACAGACGGCAGGAGCTAGCGTAGGTTGAGTGTTTCACCTCGTGCTCTGGGCTGTGGCTTTTGCCAGAGACAGTTCTGGGGCAGGACTGATGGGAAGCCAGTTCACGCTCCTCATCCCCACTCGCTGTCCTAATCCACCCAATGAGGCTCAGAGTGGATGGACACAAGGCAGGAGAATGGGGTGGGGGGTGTAGTTTTCTCCCACACCGACTGGTTCACACATCTGTCTTCAAGCAGGGGCTCCCTGGATTGTGTTTTTTACCACCCTTCCCCAGGCAGTCACCGCAGTGCCCAATCCCGCCTGAATGGCCTGGCCTGTACCCTCACCGCTGCTAGAACAGGTCAGAACAAGGCAAGTCTCCTACAAGAGGGCAACGGTGTGGCAAGAGGGCAGGGATTAGAGTCCAGCCTCCCCCTTCGTTATCACCAGCCTCCCACCCACCCAAGTCACTGACCCGCACTAAGAGCTCAGTGCAGGAATCACCTCTCTGATAAGCAGCCCCCCTAAAACAATCCGCACCCTTTAGAGCCCCAGAAACCAGGGTCCCCGCCCAGAGAAACCAGAGAGACAGGCGCGTGTTCCCGGTGCTGGCCTGGCGGCAGAAGGCGGCTGGCAGGCTGCGGTCCTTATACAAAATTGGGTGGGGGCTCACATGGGAGGTGTGGGGGGCGGGCGCCGAAGGTGTCACCGTGGCAT